CACAATGACAGGATTCTAAAATAAAGATACAAACAAACAATGATAAGATTCTAAAATAAAGATACAAAACAAACAATGATAGGATTCTAAAATAAAGATACAAACACACAATGATAGGATTCTAAAATAAAGATACAAACAAACAATGATAAGATTCTAAAATAAAGATACAAAACAAACAATGATAGGATTCTAAAATAAAGATACAAACACACAATGACAGGATTCTAAAATAAACATACAAACACACAATGATAGGATTCTAAAATAAAGATACAAACACACAATGATAGGATTCTTAAACAAAGATACAAACAAACAATTGATCATGTGAAAAAACAATTAAATCAACCAACACAGCGTTTGTAAGAAGTTTTCCGTCTGAAGCTAACACCGTTTAATAATAAAATTCAGCCCCCCCCCCCCCCCCAGTGACACAGCGGTTGGTTGGCAGAGCACGGATAGCCCTTGTGTAGCTTTGTTCATAATTAAAAAACAAACAAACAATAATAAAATTGACTTTTCTTGTTAAGAAACTCGACTCATTCCTGTGATTTTCTCAGAAAAAGTTAAATTAACAATCTTTATCGGCGTAGAAAAGTAAACATATTTATTTACCTATAAAAGAGGACAGTTTCCATATCAATAGTTTAAATAATGTAAAACTAATGGTTGCTGCTCAACAGGGTCTTCTTTCCACGCTGATTTTTCCAAGCCCATTCCCTTGGCTGTGGTTTCGCTAGACAGTAGATAGAGACAGTGGGAATCTCGTTAATCCATTCATGCGCGTCCGCAAGTAATGAAACCAAGGATTTTTTTTTTGCTGTTGTTTTATTAGTTCAGTTGCATCACTGACCTGGGTGTTTCCCTTTTTCAAGGTCAAAAGAATTACAGTGTAGTTTGTGTGACCTTCAAGTCATTCGTTTATTTTTTTTTATTCACAGAAAACATTATACATGATCTAACAATATTGAAATATTTTGGGTTTAGACGTAGTGGTCAGTGAAGGACTGGACATCTAAACCAAACAAAACGAGTTCACCTAGAAGTCTATATTAGCTGCATGTTCTTATGATGACGAAGTGACTGTTCTTGTTTAAAAACCGACACGTGTTCATACACTTCAGTGTTCACTTTCGTTTCAAACACTTATAAACACATCGTGGGCCAGGTGTGACTGAGTAGTTAGCGTGTCAAGACAATGAATCTAAGCTTTCATAGTTTCCCGTTGCAGCAATAACGCGCTCCGAGCTTTGGGGTCTTGCCTACCCTATAAGAATGACCGTCAGATGTCACTTGTTGATCATGTCAGAGTAACCCAAGTGTTGGCGGCGGGTGCTGATGATTAGCTGCCTTCCCTATAATATATCGGTTCAAAATTAGGAGGTGTGATGCGCAGGTAGTCCCTTATGTAGCTTTGGGCGAAAATTCTCAAACGAACAAATCAGGATATATTTCCAAACAGCTATAATGAGGTCGTTCTTCGGGATTTTTTAATTTTTACAATGGATCTCTGGGATAAACTATAGATTTGATATATATTTACGCACACACTCATAGATCCCGCCTTCTCTCTGAATTGGCCTGGCGTGGCCTGGTGGTTAGGGCGCTCGACTCGCAATCTGTGGGTCGCGGGTTCGAATCCCCGTCGAATCAAACATGATCGCCCTTTCAGCCGTGCGGGCGTTATGATGTGACGGTCAGTCCCACTATTCGTTTGTGAAAGAGTAGCCCAAGAGTTGGCGGTGGGTGGTGATGACTAGCTGCCTTCCCTCTTGTCTTACACTGCTAAATTAGGGACGGCTGGCGCAGACAGCCCTCGTGTAGCTTTGCGCGAAATTCATAACAAACAAATAAACTCTCTGAATTATAAATAACGTGTTTATAGGCTATCTGCTATGTACACCACTGGGAATCGAACCCCGGATTTAAGCGTTATAATTCCGTAAACTTATCGTTGTCTACATTGTTGTTGTTTTTTTTCTGACACGTTCTTATTCCACGGCCCCCAGTGGCACTGAGGTATATCTGCGGCCTTACAGCGCTAGAAACCGGGTTTCGATACCCGTTGTGGGCAGGGCACAGATAGCCGATTGTATAGGTTTGTGCTCGACTTTAAACAAACATACCTAAAGCGTCCATATTCTGCGTTGTGCTTAACTTCAAACAAACAAATCTAAAGCATCCATATTCTGCGTTGTGTTTAACTTCAAACAAACAAACCTAAAGCATCCATATTCTGCGTTTGCTATAGACACGTTCCTAGTCCGTGTTTTCTAATGACACGTTTTTATTAAAGCTCTCTTATTTTTCGTTTTCTATTGACACGTTTTTATTAAAGTTCTCTTATTTTTCGTTTGCTATAGACACGTTCTTAGTCCGTGTTTTCTAATGACACGTTTTTATTAAAGCTCTCTTATTTTTCGTTTTCTATTGACACGTTTTTATTAAAGTTCTCTTATTTTTCGTTTGCTATAGACACGTTCTTAGTCCGTGTTTTCTAATGACACGTTTTTATTAAAGCTCTCTTATTTTTCGTTTTCTATTGACACGTTTTTATTAAAGTTCTCTTATTTATCGTTTGCTATAGACACGTTTTAGTCCGTGTTTTCTATTGACACGTTTTTACTGAAGTTCTCTTATTTTTCGAGAACATGTAAACATTTACGATGGGCCCCCCACGAACCTCATCGATTTATAATACAGACCCAACTTTCCTGTTCTGTTATTTCTAATAGTTAGTGTTGCGAGTCTTAAGTTTCAAGTACTGAAAGCGGAAGCTACATCGGTTTTAACTGCTGAAATTTCCCACAAAGCATTCTCACACGGTGATTGGTTTCGTTCACAGCGGAACGCGGACCTCTTCGCGCTACCCATCAATTTATGCAACCTATCTTACCCCGAATACACAAATGAGTCTGATTGAACTGTCGCCTAATCTGATAAAGTACGTTTTTATCTTAAATTCCAGAAGTAATCAAACGAATTTAACCCAGGAATAAATAGGATTACATATACAGTTACCACGATAACAAAGGAACAGAAAGCTTAAAGCAAAGTTCAAAGAGTAATCTAGGCGTTCCGTTGTAATCATACAGTTATTTTTTATACAGCAGTGTCTGAAGTGTGAGTAATTTTTATTATCAGAGTTTCGATTGTTACGGATCAGACAATCAGCAACAAATAAAGTTTCTTAGCACGAGATCTACACGTTGAGAAATTGTGTTGGCCATGGAGAACTCAGGTTTAGAACTGGAGACAGTAAGTTCCGTTAAATTAGACACACGATTACTCTTGGTAACATTTAATTATTCATCATTATTCGGCAGATAATCTTGTTATTTATTTGTGAATTTCGGTGAAGAAAAGATGACGTTATCCGAATATCTAGAGTATTATTTGTTTTAGTGGTGAGTTAAGGACTATATATATCAAAACAAAACAAGCTGCTTACATAACAGTTTCTTTAAAAACGATGTGTTTTTGGCACAACGAAAGATGAAATATTTATTATATATTTCACTCAACTAGCTTCGGTGCCATCTTCTTCTTCTTCTTC